CCATCACCCTGGTTGGGTCCTGCATTAATCACCATTCCACAGATTAGGAAACTGAGACTTGGAAGTGACACAGTATTTTAGCTTGGGGCTAGAATTCTTTTTATTTTTTTATTAGTGCATATTGATTATACTGAGTAATAGGTTTCACTGTGGCATTTTCGTGCTTGTATACTGGATCATGTCCACCTTCTATTGCCCTCCTCCGGCCTCCCCTCCTGCTTCCTGATCCCCTTCCACTTCCCTGTCTCTCTGCCACTTTCATGTCATTTTGTTCTCCCCTAGATTCCATATAAGAGAGAAAATAGATGATCCTTGTCTGAGTCAAACTTATTTTGCTTAACTGATGGTCTCCAGTTCCATCCATTTCCCCTCAAGTGATATGATTTCATTCTTCTTTACAGCTGAATAATATTATATAGCGTATATATACACACCGCATTTTCTTTTCTCATTCATCTGCTGATGGGCACCTTGCCAGGTTCTGTAACTTGGCTATTGTGAATTGTGCTGCATTGTGGCTCGAATTCTTAACCAGCCAGATTATTGCTGGCGCACAAAGCAAGGTGGTTATGGTGACCTACAGAGAGAAGAGCAGTTATTTAAAGCTATTTTTGAATTGTAAAGTGCTGGGTAGATGTGAGATGCTTTAAATCCAGTATAACTTCTCCTGGCTTCTGAGTAACTCTCCGGAAGCAGTGCTTGAGGCAGTGCTGGTTAGGGAGGGCTGGCTCTCTTTGAGCCTCAGCTGGAGCTGAACTCTCTCCCAGAAGGTCTTTAGGGCCTTGTGGATGGTGGCCGCAGGTGTTCTAGTGGCCAGTTCTATCTCCATGGCCCCTGACTCCCTGCTCCCCTGTGCTCCCGATAAATCAGTGTCTGTTAGGCCTTGTAGTCAAACACAGCTCAAGCAAAGGGAACTCTGGGCTAAGAGGTAGATGGCAGAGCCCACAGGCAGGAGCCCAAATGTCCATTTCAAAGTCAGAAGGCTCCCTGGAATCTGTGCTCACAGGCTGCCAAGCATGGATAGAGACTTTGGGTGCTGAAAGCCCAACTCCAGCAGGTGGCACAAATGTGCAGTTGCAATCACCAGCAGGCAACGAGTGAAGGTTTTGGGTTGACCTTACCAAGAGAGCAAGGCAGAGGAACTACCACGTGGCCAAGAGATTCTTGAGAGCCAGGTTGAATGGGAGTGAAATGCATGGATAGGTGGGAGTAGGGCAAGAGGAAAGGCAAGGGTAGGGGCGGGTGTGGAGCAAGGAAAGTACAAAGAGATCTCAAGAGGGGAGCCCAGTGCAGGGGTGGTGGGTCCCAGTGGAAGCAAAGGGCCTGGGAGTGGTGGCTGTAATGAGTGGGACTTTTAGAAATGTGCACATGGATGTGGGCAGTGTCTCAGCCATGATAAGCTCCTAGGGGTAGTCTTCTGATTGGGTTGGAGATGGTGTAAGGGGGCTTCAGAAAGCACTGGGAAAGACTTTTGAAGCTTCTCCAAAAAGACTGTAAAGTGTTGGAATGTGTGGAGGCAGGAATGAAAACTACAGGACCCAGGGGACACAGAGAAATGAATATTATCAGAAACAGAGAGGATGGAAAGCACAGGGGCTTGGATTTCCCAAGGGCATCAGTGATGATGCTGTGATGAGGATGCCACTGAGGTCAGGAAGGGACAAGAAAAGCAAGGGGATGCTGTGGTGGATTGACAGTTGGTGGTCAACTTGTAACATCCAGCTGAATTGAACCACTGTGGTGCTGCATGTGTGAGGCCCACCTGAGGACTGTTGCCAGCAGCTTAAGAGGCAGAACTGAAGATGAGAGGCTGCTGGGAGCTGGTAGAAGCTGTTGGGTGCTATTAGAAGCTGTAAGGAGCTGTTGGTTCTCTTGGAGGAGCTTGTCATGCTGGTTTTCCTGATGAACTCAGCTGTTCTCATTGTCTGAGGAGCTCAGGACCTCATAGTCACTGAGAATGGCTTCAGTTCACTTCGGGGAAGCTCTGGTCCTCACTTTGAGCATCGCTTCCCGGCCCTGGAGGGGAAGATGGTGCATCGCTCAGTCTCCTGGAGTAGCTCGTCACCTTGGCTTTCCTGATGGGAACTTGGCTTTCCTCATCATCAGAGGAGCTCAGGACCTCACCATTACTGAAGATGGCTGTGGTACTGTTCGGGGGAGTCCTCGTTCTTACTTTGAGCAATGCTTCCTGGTTCCAGAGCAGATCCTTCAGCCTACTAGCATAGATCCTTCATCCCACTGGCACAGATTTTCTAGCTTACACCACTGAAGCTTTGTGCTGTCCCAGTGCAGACCTGTGAAACAGGCCTGTATGAGACATTGTCATGGGCTGTAGGCCTCCAGTTGGACTTGTGGGAGGCATTGTTATGGGCTCTAGGTCTTCAGCTGGATTCATGCAGGACATTTTTGTGAGATCCAGGCCCTCAGCTGGATTCTTTGGTCCTTAGCATGTGGAGAGATTTCCTGCACTCTTTTTGTATATGATTCTTTGGGTGGTTATTATGAAATAATCTTATAAAATATGTGTCCTGTATTATACTGTCCCCCTTGCAAAACCCCAAACTACAACAGATGCTAATGCCTTCTCCAAACTCCACAGGGAAGGGAGAGAAGGAGCAGCCTCAGGGCAGACCCCTAGAGCGAGGGCTCAGAGGAAAGGAGAAGAGGGGGTGTGGTGAGTATCCGCAAGACACAGCAGAGGCCATCTGGGGTCTAAGGTGGGCAGGCTCGGGGCTGGGACACACAGATGCAAGTGCAGGCTACAGGAGAATGTCTAGTCCAGTGCATGGAAAGAGTCATACAGAAAAATGGCAAAAGGCAGTAGGATGGTTCAAGTAGCTGATGAGGGTGGCCTGGGACATAGAGGACCTACATAGCTAACGGGACTCTAGAAAGACAGCAGGGAAAGAAGGATCTAGAAGAGAGGGCGGAGCCACACTCAGGGCCCTGCACAGACGGTAAAAGCAGACGAGTGGCTGGCCAGTGTGCCAGGCACGGGGCCCTGTCATGCTGGTGAAGGGGGATCACGCTGCAGGGTGATGTGGGAAGCAAGGCCTGCTCACAGAAGCCGTCTGCAGTCTGGCTCTCAGAGCTGAGAGGGCTCCAATCAGGGCAGGCACGGTACTAGAGATGGCTGACAGAGTTCACGTGGTTCCCAATCAGGTGTCATGGGCCTGTGCCAAAAACCAAGAGGAAGCACACAGGATGTCAGCTCGAACTCCTTCCAACCCAGGCCCACACTGTTGGGCTCTGTCAAGTAACACATGTACCAGAGCTGAAATGGATCGAGATCTTGGCTCTTAACCTCGCACAGAGCTGCTAAGTCAAGACTGATGAAGACATCCGTCCAGGCTACTGCTCTCTGCTGCTCTGCACATGCTTGAGACGGAAGTACGGCAACTCACTGGAGGGAGGAGGGCAGACACCCTGATTTAGTGTCTCCGGCTGCGAAGACACAGCATGTGCCTCTCAGACACTAGCCCTGCTCTCGAAGACACAGAGACCTTTCTGGAGGCCTTTCCCCTGCTGTTGGCTGTGGGCTTTGCTTGGGCCCACAGTGCAGTGGTCATGCCTCCCCCTCCTCCTCCAGGGCTAGCTCCTCTGCCTGCTCCCCTCCACACATTCCCCCAGGGAGGCAGAGACTGTGAGCCAGGGAGGGAGGGGGGAAAGAGGACTGTGTCTCTTCACCCTGTCTCCAACCCCAACACTTCTTGCCCCTGAGCTTACAGGCAGAGGACGCAGGGAGCCTGTAGCGAGAGAATAAGGTATAAGGAGGTGGGGAAGGGGGTCATTGTGTGCTCCCCACTCCCTCTGCTTCTTCTCCAGCCCCAGAGCCCACCCCAAGTTTGATCCACAGGAGTGACCTGTCAAGGGGCATGGAGGGCCTACATCCTCACAGATGGAATTGTATGTTGGGGTCACAGTCAGTAGATGTTTGCGCACTGTAAAGACGTAACAGGCTTTCTGTACAAAAGCAATCCCTTCTTTCATTCAGAAGATCTTGCTGGGCACCTATGATATGCTAGGGGCAGTCCCTCCCTCGAGCTGCTGAACAGACTAGAGCAGGTGTGTTACCAGGTAAAACCCAACCTGACAAGGGCTGGGAAAGGAGGATCTGGGTGGGAGCGCTGAAGATACAGAAGGCACTCTAGCATCTCTGTAAATTGCGGACAGCTCATGCAACATGAGAATACCAAACTCACGCATGACTTTCTGAAAATAGGACATGAGTAGGTCATGAGAAAATTAAAGGGAGATAGAGAATGACTCACACGTGCTCAGCTCTTGTTCAAAAAGCAAAATTTCTAGAGCTGCAAGACTGTAAACAGGACAATTTATATTCTCAGGATTCAGCCTCCATTTTCAAATGGAAGTTTTTATTTCTTGCAGTTTGCTTTTTGTCTCTGGAGAATGCTTTGGCCATAGAGGCTCACTGTGGCTATGAAGGGGCGGTCTGGACCCGCAGGCAGGTGTGAGCCTCAGCCCTGTCGGTCGCGAGAGGGAGCATCTGGTGCAGGAGGGGCTGAGCAGACACCTCAGAAAAGGCTGCAGCAGGAGTGCTTAGAAAGGGAGCATTCCAGAAGACGGGGTCTGGGACACACTGAGGGGACAGGGAGCGGCAGATGGCACTCGAGTGAAAGCCCTGAGTTCTGTGGGAAGAAGTGAATCTATGACCATGGCATCACAGAACACGGGCTCCTTTGACAAATACCTCCTCCTCTCTCCCTGTACTCATCTGTAAAATAGAATAATGGCATCTATCCCCCATAGGGGATATGAAGATTAAATACGTAACACAGGGAAAGCACTTAGGGCAATGCTCTAGTATGTGCTCAATAAATGTTAGCTTTTTATCCTTTTTTTTTTCTGAGAGAGAGAAATGGCAAATAATTCACGATACTCATATCAAATATATAAGTATTCTCAGTGGTTTCTGTAAATCACATTCCACTTTGCCTGTGGGAAAAAAGGAGATGTAAATTAGTTCAACTAGACATGTATATACTTTAAAATATTGAATTTATTTTTTAAAAAACCAGCACAGTGAGAACTGCCACACAAATGACTTTTCACTACCAATCACAGGTCTCTTCTCAGTTCAAGTGCACACATTTAACGCTTCAGATTAAAGACCTGTAATCCTCTCAAAGCTTTTTACATTCTGAAGTCACATAGAATTAAGCAGGAAAACATTACCATTAAATGAAAATCAATTCTGCACAAATACATACAATCAAGCAGTCTACAGTATCACCTGAAATACCTGTATTTTAGAAACAATCCCACACAACACTGTGTGTGTCACAAGGTTCCCGTTACTCCTGGGGGTCTGTCTCACGTAGTCTGTTCTCACATTTCTTTCACCAAGCCTCAGGCAATGAAGGGAAACTTCTTCCAGGCACTGGCCTTCTTTTTGTGCATATTCTTTTTCTGAATTCAGTTTCTGAAAACAGAGGCTTCTCCCTTGGTACCATGACCTCTAAGACATCAGAGCTATCAAGGCTCTTCAGTGTCTTCCTTCCTCTGGGGAGACCCATACGTCTCCACACTACCCAGCTCTGCCCTCCTCTCACTCCAGGCCCCTCCTCGGTGAGGAGATAGTCTCTGGGGAGACCAAGAAAGCTTCATACCTCTACCTGGCAGACAGAAGGCCTGGTCCTTTCCTGGTGTCTTGTATCTTCCTCTGAATGCTGAGAAACCTTTTTATACCAGAATGTGTCAACCCACAGCAGTAAGACTTTGAGGAACTGAACATGTGAAAAGTGATTCAGGGACCAGACCTTAAAGGAAGGGGTGTTTGGCACCATGCACCGGTGGGTTCCTACTTTTAGCTGCCTGGGTGCAGAGCTTTGGCAGCAGCACCAAATTTTGCGCTCCACGTGCACCTGCAACCCAGAGGGGACAGGTGTCCTCACAGGATACAGCCAAAGCTGGAAAGCAGGAGCCAGGTGCTGGGACCGGACAGTAACTGCACTCGTGTGGGCGTTGATGCCGCTGGTCAACAGCACCTTCGGTCCTGTGTGAAACATGTTTTTGTTTTTGTTTTTCTTTTTTTTTTTTTTGGTTTTTCTCCGGTACCAGGAACCGAACTCACGACCTTGCGCTTGCCAGGCAGGCGCTTTTGCCGCTGAGCTAAATCCCCAGCCCCGTGAAACATGTTTATCTGTTGCCTTTCAAAGCATTTTTCAGCAGTCTGAGCCAGAAACATATTTCAATAGAAAAATTGTACACTTTGCAAGTATTATACTGTCATAATTGATTCATATTTCCTGGACATTGATAAAATCAAGCACATCTCTTTTTTTTTTATTTTTATTTTTTTGGTACTGGGAATCGAACTTTGGACCTCGTACTTGCCAGGCAGGCACTTGTGCTGCTGAGCTATATCTCCGGCCCAGCACATCTCACCAGAGGCTTCCAGAAGCACTGCTATGACAATGAGAGAAGACACAGTGAGACCGACCTCAATGGCATCTCTTCCCTCTCCTCTCCCTCTCCCTTTCCTTTCTTCTTTCTTTCCTTCTGGAGGCACCAGTTTCTGGGCCTGGACAGAAGGCTAAGGACAAAGGTTTCCCGTGGGCTCGGCACAGAGTGGTGTGTCCCTTCTCCAGTGTGACAGGAGGAGCCCTGTGTCGACAGCCTTTATGCAGCAACCTCTAGGAATTCTGAGGTAAACACAGCTTCTGCGTAGTCTTCACATGCATCCTGAAGTTCCGCAGCCACGGCCCCCAGGGCTTCATCTACCAGCTCTTCAGAAAAGCTAGAAGATAAACGACACAGCTGAAGCCATGGATGGCCAAACACAAACCAATCTTTTACTCAGCTGAGGAACTCAGCAAGTCAACCCTAAAATTCAAATGAAAATGCAAAAGGCCAAGAACAGCCAAGATAGTAAGATGTCGATGCTCGGATTCCAAAGGCCTGTAGAGCCTTGTAGACAGACAAATGCACCTTACCTGGGATGGCTGAAACCAGAGGTGACCAGAAATTAGCTGCAATCCAGCCCCTGCTCACACACAGCATGGACGACCACCACATGGGAGGAAAGGGTGTGCGCCTTCTCTGCGGGAGAAGGGGCAGGATGCCCAAGCCTGTCCTCCTCTTTTTCTCTCTGTGCCCCAACCCCGCTCTTCTGAGCTGCCTGAGAGCAAGCTGCATGCTTAATATTCCTCAACTACTTCATGTGTTTCCAAGAAACAAGGACATCCTCTTAGATAACTGCAATAATTATAAACAAAATAAAATTAATATCTGTACAGAATTAATATCTAATCTTATCTATAGACCATACTCAAATTTCACTAACCATCAAAAACATTCTTTTAAAAGAAAACTTTTTGTAGCTCATGGTTCTTTCCAGCATCCTGGGCTGCATTTGGTTCTCAGGTTTCTTTAGTTTTAGTCTGAAAGAGGTCTTCCATCTATGCCTTTCATAACCTTAACAGTTTGTGAAAAGGAAAGGGTTTTTTTTGGTAGACCGTCCCTAATCTGGGTCTGTCTGGTGTTCCTTTATGGTCAGTGTCAGCCTACATTTTTGGAACAACGCCACAGGAGGGATATTGTGTCTCCTCAGTGCCTCATAGTATCTATTTGTCCCATTAATGATGACTGTGAGGTTATTTTGTTTTGTTTTGAAACAAAACTATGTAGTTTTCTATGTAGTTCAGACTAGCCTTGAACTCACTATGTAGCCAGGCTGGCCTTGAACTAGTAGCAATCCTCCTGCCTCAGCCCCCCAAGTGCTGGGATTACAGGAGTGTGTCAGTATGCCCAGCAGATGACTGATTATTTTGAACACTTGGTTTCTAGGCTTCTCTCTAGTAAAGTTACTATCTTCCCTTTGTAATTAAAAAGTATACTGTAGGAGGATTCTTTGAGACTATGTAAATATCCTGTTTCTCATCAAACTTTCCTGACATCAATTACTGCAAGATTCCCAAACACTGATTTTCTAATTCCATCATTCTATCTCCATTTCATAGTTGCTATTCCACTGTGCTAAAGAGGTTTTCCTTCTTTCTCTCTTATTTACGTATTCATCCAATAATTCACTAATTCATTCATTCATTCATATCAGTTTGGCCTTACAGGGTCTTATTTTTATAGCCCTTTACTATAGCTACTTGTTTTAATGCTTAAAAACATACTGGCTCTGGCCCATAGTAGCCTCTTCAAGGTGGCTGCTGCGCCCTCTTGACAGGTCCCCCTACGAGCATTTCCTTCTGGTACAACGTGATGTCTTACATCTCCAGTCCCAGCCCTAGCCCGGGAACCAGTCATTTCTCTACAGAGCGCTGGTACCTCCTCATGAAAAACAGTACTGAGAATCCAAGATCTGGGCACCAGGCCTGCTAACTGCTGCTGGTACCTCCAGTTCTAGGCCCTCTCAGTGAGACTAGGACACACACAAATACACACACACCTTCATTTGTATTTCTATAGCTATCAAAAACTATATATTCACAAGGATAGCTGTAATTCCAATTCAACAGAGGGTGCATCCTACCCCATCCTCAGAAACCTTGCTCTCGTTATTCAAATTGTACTCCCTTATTTGATCCATCTTAAAATACAGAAAAACTCATTTTAGAATTGCTAACCGATGCCACTGTGCAAAAGGGTGTTATTTCTGACCCATTTTCTTGCTCTCCTCTCCTTCTGAAACTCTAATAACATATATACTAGTAGACCTTCTAACTTTATCCTCTCTTCTTTGTGTCTCCACATTATCACTCCAGATAATTTTTCTGTGCTATGTTCCAAGTCTCTAAGTTTTTCTTCTGTTGTATCTAATTTGCTGCTGAGCCCATCCAATGAATTTCTAATTTCAGAAAACGTGTTTTTTATTCTAGAATGCATAGTTGGGCTTTTAAAGTTCCTAGTTCTCTGCCAAATTCCAAGATGTATCTTCTATTTGTATCAACACACTAGGCAGTTATTTTAATGTCAATGAAATAGCTTTAATATTTGGAAATGTTGTGGGTCTGTTTTTGTTTTCTCTCTCTCTCTTGTCTTTCTACACTCCAGACACTACACTTGAAGATTGTAGAAATAAGTGAAGCCCTATACAACAATGTTATTTTCTTCCAGAGAAAGTTTACGTTTGCTTATTCCTGGAGACTGGGGGGCAGCAACAATCTAGAGTCAGTTTAATCCAAGTGGAGTGGCTCAGAAGCCTATTTACATTCAAGTCACCTGAACTTGCAAGAGTGTGGACTTTTCAAGCGACTGAAAGGGTGGAGACGTAGCTCAGTGGTAGAGCAACTGCCTAGCATGCACAAGACCCTGGGTTCAATCCCCAGCACTGCAAATAAATGAAACAAGACAAAAGTGAGAGAGGTTAGCCAGGACAAATGCCATACCTTGGTAATCCCTGGATTCCAACCTCTGTCTTCTGACCTGAAAAGGCTACCCCAATGGGACTCCTCTCTCTCCGAAGTAACCATCCAGTGCCATCCAATGGCTAACCTCCCTAACCTCCCTGGGTCTATTTTATCCAGGATCCTGGCCCAGTTATTTTTTTTATTACCTAGTTAACTTTTTGATGCCAGCAAGCATGTATGTTTTATTTTCAATACAGCTTTTCTATTAGCAGATATCCTTAGTGGGAAAGGTGGTCCAAATTACCAAGCGCATCATTACTAGAAGTGGAAGCAACTACCTCATTTTTACATTTGCTTTGCTCTCTGTGTTTCCATCATGAACCCAGCACCAAACAATGAAATATAAAGTTGCTTCCAGGACATTTCAACACAGCAGGTAATAGATCCTTTTTTCTCCTTCTCTTCTTTTGAAGTACTGGGAAATGAACACAGAAACTCACATATGTTAGGTAAGTATTCTGCTACTCAACTGCATCCTCAGCCCTTTCTATTTTGAGACAGAGTCTCCACAGGTTGCCCTAAGTTGCTTGGACTGGTCTCAAACTTGCCATCCTCTTACCTCAGCCCTCCTGGGTGGCTGAGATGACAGGTGTACACCACAATGCCTGACTCTTTAATTCAACTTTCCTCACTCGATCTTTCATTTCTGAGACAGGATCTCCCTATATAGCTCAGGCTGGCCTTGAGCTCTGAGCAGTCCTCTTGCCTCAGCCTGAGTGTTGGGATTACAGGCATTTGCAATCACACCTGGTCTCACTTTGTCTTTCCCTTGAGGAACCATCCCTCCTGGGGTCCTGTGCCCCAGTATTTCGGTAAGTGTGATTCTATGCTTACTGAAAATATCCCCTGGAAATGGCTTTTACAGTTTTCCTGGACGTTCCATGTTGTAATCTAAGTTTCCTAAACCCCAAGTGTGCCTTTTTCTTAATGCACACCTTGCACTGGTGGCACATACCCTCCAACAGCTTACAGAGAAACAGTACAGGGAAACTGAATTTTTGAACACTACATACCTAAAATTATTTTTATTTTATCCCTATCTTTAACTGATAATTTAGCTGAACACAGAAGTCAAGGTTAAATTTGGGAACTACAATATCTTAGCTTCTTCCAGTGTTGCCACTGAAAATAATACGCCATTCTTATTTCTGATTACTTGAAGGCATCCAGTTTTAATTTTCTGGAATCTTTTGTCATCTTTTCTTTACAGCACGATGCTCAACTGTCCCTTTTCCTAATGATATGTAATGATGTGTTCTGGGTAATTCATTCATTCCCTCACAGTGGGCAACTGATGAACTTTTTCAATCAAACAACTACAGACAGCCTCCTAAAAAGGTTGTTATAGTATTTCTAGGATAACCTCTATATTTTTTTCATTTTTTCCCATATTCTGGCACTCTTATTATTTAGTTATTGGATCTCTTAGACCCACCCTCTAATTTTTAAAAATCTTTTCTGTTATCTAGCTCATTTTTTTTATTGTACAGCTTGAGAAATGAGTTTTTCAGTACTTGTAATCAATTTATTTTATCCATCATGTTTTTAATTTCAAATAACTTCTTTAATTCTCTGAAAGTTTTTAAAAAATAGTACCCTATTCTTGTCTCATGATATAACAGCTTTACTTACTTCTCCAAGGATATTAATTCTAGTTTCTTTTTTAGATGTTTTGTTCTGTTCACAGCATTGTCCCTAATTCCTTAGAGCTTTCTTTATCTGTTACAACAGCATATGTATCTTTCAAATGTCTGGTCATCTCAGCTGTCTGCTCATTTTTAAGAATGAGAATCAACTGCCACCAAGCCTCCTATTTTCAGGCTAACCTGTATCCATGCCTTCACAGACATATGGTGCATCTGGCTCCGAAGCCATACCAAGGTTCTATACAGATAAACTTGGTTCTTGGCTTTATTCTCACTAGGTGCTTTACTTTGTCTGGTCTGCTAGGTCACTTACCATTTGTCTAATCGCTTTATGGATTCCAGATTCTTACTGATATTCTTGTTTACTGCCATTTACAATTTCATGTCTTTTATTTTTTTTACAACACACAGTGGGGTAGGGATACAAGGAGTACAGATAAATACATATGTTGAATCTGTTCTTTTCAACCAAAAATCTCATTTTTGCAAAGGAAAATCAGGAACCCTTATAGTTTTCTTTTTATCAAAAGCACTGTCTTAAGTCTTTTTCCCAACTAATCTTTTATTTGCCTCCAGTTTACATCATCTACTCATTCTGATCATTGTGATGTTGACTTTCTTTTGGTATGAGGAAGAACAGAGGCATTAAAGACTAAAACAAACAAACTCAGCTAGTTTCCCCCTTAACCGAGAGGATATTGAAGTCAACTGTCTTTGGATACTTTTCAAATGCTGATCAATACAACTGTCACCTTTGAGGAACATCCAAGAAGTAAAAGCCAGAGAGATTTAAAAATAAACAAGCAAACAACCACAACATAAAACCACAGAGCTACAGTGTTAAGATGCACTGTCACTTGGGGCCAAAGGTTAACAGGAAAACATCTATAAAACCTCAGGCATATTTTAATAGCTCTGTGCTCTGTGCATTAACATATTATTCCTTACAGGCTGCGAGAACCTTCCCCTATACCTACAAAAGAACTATGAACAAAATGCATCAGTCTGTCAGGTGAAGAACATACAAGGAACAGGCTATCTTCCTTGGCTTGCCTTAGACTTCTCAATATGCCAGTCTGTCTACCTGATCCAGACAGGTTACAGGAAAAGAGTCAGTACGCCAAGGGACTGTGTCACCACACAGAAGCAAGTCCAATCTCCTTCTCTTCCCCAGAAAATCCTTAGGAGTACATGTGAAGGCAATGCTCACCTCCCCCAGAACAAAGGGCCCTATATACTTTGAAGGGTCCTATCTTAAAGATAAAAGACTTTCAGTTAACCTCAAGTCTTCATTATAAATGATTATCCCTGATCCTGCCCCTAACCCTGCTAAAACAAAAGGAAACAGATATACAAGTACATAAATGTATAAAAAGAAAAAGGAAAAAAGTAGATGAGAAATGTCCAAATTTTTCAGAGGGTAAAAACCACAAGAAGAATCATAACTGACTGAGCAGAACAGAGAAAGTCCAGAGGAAGCTGAGACCTACACGTCTATAGGGGTTGCTAAGGAAAAATAAGTTGATCTGTCCCACAAACATCAGAAAGGCTCAGGGGGAGTGAGGTATGGGCAGGAAACATGAAAACTGGTTGAAAATTTGTAAAACAAAAACAGATTTTCTTGTTCTTACATATCTATTAGTAGTTCTCCACTCCTACTTCTGGCAGTTAAGTGACAATCTCTTCTACCCCCACAAAAAAAAAGAAGGTATATTCTTTGGAAAAATAAATCAGTAATTTAAAACTCAGTGCAGCAGGTGTCGGGCACACACTTGCAATCCTTGCTACTTGGGAGACTGAGGCAGGAGGACTACAGTGCAAGTTCAGGTGGGTAACTTAGCAAGACTTTGTCTTAAGATACAACTTTAAAAGGACTGGGATGTAGCTTAGTGGTACAGTGCTTGCCTAGGCACGTGTGAGGCCTAAGTTTGATCCCTCCTAGGTATGTGTGAGGCCCTAAGTGCAATCCTAGTCTGCTAAATAAATACCTATTTTAAAAAATAACCTCAGCTCAACCATCAATCAAGTATGAAAAGAGATACTTTCAAACTTGTAAGTCTCAAGAAATTTCCTCCAATACACAAAGCAGGATAAATTCCATCAAAGCAAGAGTAAACTAAGAAAGAGGAAGATGACGACGCTAACGATGAGGAGGCTAACATGGGAGGGAGGAAACCTACATTCAATACGGGATGAAGTCCCGGAGCAAGGGCCACTTGGCAGAGCAGGAGTGCAGACAGGTTGGATCAATGTGGGAGGAAGAGGGGAGGGTCCTCTGCAAAAAAAGCAGAGGTGAGCTTCAGAAATAGGGATTAACTGATATTCTTCTCTCATTAAACTTTGTTTTAATGGATCTTAAACTTCTGTGACAGATTTTTGGTCAAGTCGTTTCCATTAAAAAATGTTGATGTAAAAAATAACCTAAAACTGCCACACACACAAAAAACAAGTAGTTTACAGAACATTCTCCTTTCCTTCTGATGGTTTTGTGATACACTGTTATCATTAATCAGTACTTTACTATAGTATTAAACTTAAACAGCCAATGAGAGAGACAGTTCTGAGACTGATCTTCGGCCACTGATTAAGTCTAGGGTGGAAGGTGTTAGTGATAATATTCCTTTAGCCTTTTGAGCTTTCTGCGCAGACTTGGTAACCTTGCCAGTTGCAACAGCCTTCCTGTCCACTGCTTTGATGACACCCACAGCACCTGTTTGTCTCATATCACCAACCACAAAACGACCCAGCGGAGGAGAGTCAGAGATGCTCTCGACACACATGCCTGGAACCAGATCAAGATTTCAATCTTACTAGACTACTAGCAGTGGGTGCTTGATCTTTTCTTTCAGCTCAGCAAACCTGCAAGCAATGTGAGCTGTGTGACAACCTAGTATGGGGGCCTAGCCTGCCATACTGATTTGGCCTGGATGGTTCAGGATAATCCCCTGAGCAATGAAACCACCTGTTTCCCTTGATGGATCATTTCTGCTGTCACCAGCAACACTGCCACAATGCACATCTTTGCTAGACATGTTCATGACGTTGAAGCCCACCCTGCCCCCAGGAAGAGCTTCACTCAAAGCTTTATGGTGCATTTCAACAAACTTTACTTCAGATGCAAAGGCTTGTCCATTGAGTGACTGTGGGGTCAGATGCAATCCAAAGCTTCAAGCAGTGTGGTTCTATTGGTACTGCCATCTTTATGAGCAACTTTCCACCCTTGAACCCAGGCATATATGCACTTGACTCCAGCACACCGCCATCATTCCAACCAGAAACTGGCAAAAACTGTGTCAGGTGGTAGCCAATCTTCTTAATGTAGGTGGTGACTTCCTTAATGATTTCCTCGTATCCCTTCTGCCCGTAGGGTGGCTCAGTGATATCCATTTTAACTGCTGTTTCACACCCAGCATTTGAACCAGAAGGGCATGGTCACTGCTCTGCTCATCCCTGGAGATGTCAGCTTCAAATTCACCAACACCAGCAGCAACTATCAGGACAGCACAGTCACCCTGAGATGTCCCTGTAAGTTTTTGATAAAGTCTGTGTCCTGGGGCATCAATGATCATCACATAATACTTGCTGGTCTCGAATTTCCACGGGGAGACGTCAATGGTGATACCACACTCATGCTCAGCTTTCAGTTTATCTAAGACTCAGGTGTACTTGAAGGAACTCTTCCCCATTTCAGCAGGCTCCTCCTCAAATTTTTCAATGGTTCTTTTGTCAACACCACATTTATAGATCAGATGGCCTGCAGTGGCAGACTTGCCTAAATTCACATGTCTGATGACAATGATACTGATTTGAGTCCTTTCTTTTCCTGTGTTGGCTTTGATTTAGTGGTGGTTTTTCCAATACCTAGGCTCTCATGGTAAACTCACTGCAAAAAGGTTAACTGCTATCTTTGTTTAATCAGGATTAAACTAAGAGATTATTAACTAGTATATGCAGAAAGTTAATAAATGTGTAAAAGAAGAGGCAAAGAAAAAAAAAAGGAGGTAATTATTAACTCTTGGAACATTTAAAAAACTTCTTTAAGGAAGAAGTGTAATCATAATATATCACCTATCTCCATGAAAAATATCTTGCATGGTTTTAATAAAGTGATATCCATGGGAATTTAAATTTTGACCCTCTCTTAAAAAGAATGGCTTTATGTACATCTTTTCAGGGTTGTATTCATAAAAAAGATAATCCACTCTTCAAATTGTAGTAGCAGCAGGATCCTGTTCTGACAATATACAGCTCCGTTTCCCGGGAAAGACGACTCGCAGAAGGGAGCATGAAAATGCTGCAGCCAGAGGGGTGCTGCTTATACAGGCAAGTGTGGCCCCAACCAAGACTTCAGCATCACTGGCTTTTCCCACCCAGCAGTATATTGTGTTCTCCGATGGGACATCACCTTCACAGCAACAGGAAACCAGCTGTGACTTAACTTTAGGTCACACCTCTGTCCTTCAGAACTGCAAGTTTATGTCTCTACCTCAAAATTCATACTTTGAAGTCCTAATTCCCAATGTGCTATTTGGAGTGAGGCCTTTGAAAGGCAATTAAATCTAGATAAAATCAAGAGGGTGGGGCTTTATGATGGGGTGGGATTAGTAACCTTCTAAAAAGGTGAAGAAGCTCGGTGTGGTAGCACACACCTATAATCCCAGCGCTTGGGAAGCTGAGGCAGGAGGATTGCTGAGAGTTTGAGGCCAACCTGGGCTCCACAATGAGTTCAAGGCCAGCCTGAATTACAGTGACACCCTGTCTCAAAAAACAAAAAATAAAAAAGAAAGAAAAGAAAAAGAGAGAGAACGAGTAATAAAGGGAGGGAGGGAAGGAAAACGGAAGGGAGGGAGGATGAGAAGCAAGCGTTTACTTTGTCTACCAGGAGAAGACACAAGAAGGCAGCTGTCTACAGGTCAGGAAGGGGATGTTCACTGAACACTTCAATCTTAGATTTCCCAGCCTCCGGAACCATGAGAAATACATGCCTACAGCTTAAGTCCTCTAGTCTGCAGTATTTTAGGGCAGCTTGATCTGACTAAAACACTGCCTGAGAAGAGAAGGCTGCAAAGCACTTCTAGGGATGGCAAAGCTCATGCTCCTTTAAGGTCTCAGTCAGCCTGCCCTTTAGCCCAAGATCAACCACTGGAACTCCACGCCCCAAAGGCATGTTGTAAGCCCTTGACTATTCCTTTGTCCAGCTTTTCTCTAAGTCTAAAATCTAGCCCTTGGATCCTAAACAGAGGGACACACATTTTACTGACCTTTCAGCTATCAGCCATGGGTTGAAGGAGCCTACGGCCTCATGAGACATGATCCGGAGGTACTGCTCAAACCGGCTACAGTAGTCGCCAATGCTGTGCCGCATGCTGGGTGGGACAAACAGGAAAGTCCAGCCTTCTCTCTGCTGGGAGTCTTCTGCACGGGACGGAAGGGGAGTCTCTCTTCTCTCTGATTGCTCTGTCTCTACACTGTCATCCAAGGAACTGAGGAGAAATGAAGAAGACGAAGACATTCAAAATTATCGGTAAACTATGGTGAACTGTTAATTTACCCTGACATTTTGATTACCAAAGGCTCTCCTTCATTTCTTTTTTTCATGCTAAATAAAATTCAGTATCTTATCACCATTCATTACGCCGCTTTTCACTGCACTCACCCTCAACCCCCTAAGCATTACTGTTTCTAAAATAATTCTGAGAGCAAATCTTGCAGTAAACAGCTAGCACAACCCACATCTACCAAAGCAATGCTCTCAACGTGAATAGCCAGCTGACTGTTGCTAGGTGCTAAAAGGCTCCTGAAGATGCAACACTCAATGCCCATCTCAGACCCACACTGTTTCACTGAGCCATTCTAGTTTGCAGATCTCGCTCTAAGAGCATCTCTCTGGCTTGAGGGAACTGAAGGAATCTGGAGCTCAACAAGTCAAAGGCAACCAACTAGCACAAAAACAGACAAGGTGCCTAGTACCTACTTGGCATTGCAGGGCTTTTCTAACATGATGTTAACAGCTGGGTCCTTCTGAACTGCTGTCTTTGTGATCCTGATTACAGAAGGCAGAGACCCTTCACCTACTGCTGGGGTTTTCTGATCTAGAAAAGAAGAAGCACAAAATGATCGAATGCAAAGAAAAACTAGTATCTGTCTTAAGAGTTCTAATGGCCAATAACCTATCAGAAAGTCACATGCAAATCTCTTAAAAATAAAGGGCATAGCTAGCAATGTAAAAGGAAAAATTACTCTTACTTTAAATGCAAAACTTAAGGCCTGGCATGGTGGCACATGCCTGTAATCCCAGCACTCAGAGGCTGAAGCAGTAGGATCACTGTAAGTTTCAGGCTCACGTGGGCTACATAGTGAGTTCAAGGCCAGCCTGAACTGTACAGTGAAACTCTTGTCTCAAAAAGACCAAAAAAACCCCAAAAAACAAAAAAAAACAAAACCCCTGAAATGTAACAGTTGCAGAGAAACAAACCAATTAAGACTCAGTGTTAAGAACTGGGGATATAGCTCAGCAGCACAGTGGCTGTCTGGCAAGTGCAAGTCCCTGTGTTCAATTTCAGGGACCCCTTCCCCCGAGAAAAAAACAACTCCTTTCCAAGTCTCTGTCAGCTGTGAGAAAAACTTCTAGAGGTCTACTCAAGGCTCCGGGCTATGGTGAGTGACTTTTGGACTGGCTACCCATTCAAGGAGTCTAAAGCAGTTAAGTTTGTTTTTTGACCTTTAAATGCTTTGATTACTGAAGAAAAACACCACTCACACTTGAACACTTAATTAGCTGATTTAATTTGTCTTTGGGCACTGCTGGAAAAAAATCTGCATGATGATAGTCAAAACATTAATTTGTTAACTACAACTTGCAGGCTTGACAGCTCTTCAGAGTTTTACATTATTTCTAATTTTAAATGTATTTCAAGTGTAGGAAGACAATCTGTCCTTCTTGGTAGAGAGCATCTGTATGTCAAGTAACTTTCTTTGACTCATATGCTTATAATTTCTTACTGTCAGACTGCCTTGCTTAACTTTTATAAAAATATTACTGAGTACAATTTTCAATTGTTCATAGGGAGGATAAGACACTGCACAATCCAAAGATCCCTTTAAGTTGGTTTTGTGATGCAACTCAGCAAGTAAGCAGAAGTGGAAACATTAAGAGTTCTTATTACAGTCCTATGATCTGAAATTACAAATATCTAAAAACTCATTTAAGGGGCTGGGGATTTAGCTCAGCGGCAAAGCGCCTGCCTGGCAAGCACAAGGTCGTGAGTTTGGTTCCCGGTACCAAGAAAAACCAAACCAAAACAAAACAAAACAAAACTCATTTAAGGTCTTACTATTCTAAAGAGTTCTTTTTAAATGTATACCTAGACTCTAGGCAGAATTTTAGATAGTGGCTACTTATTTAAATTGTCCTTGGAAAAACCAAAAAATCCTCCCTAACACTATCTTCTACATCATGCCAACTAAACCACCCCCAAAGAAATTTCCCTTCCATGTTACCCTTCCCTGTTTCCATCTGAAAGAAGGCTAAATTGCCCACTGATTAACTAAACAATGACTGGAAAGGCCCCTATGGCAGGCACAGTTGGACACATGACTATGAAGAATTCTCTGACCTCAAAGAATCTGTGGCTTAGCTGGAAGAGACAGGACACCTTTACAAACAGCTGTGCCACGTGGGAGAGCATGCTAGGAGTGCTTTGGGAGTTCATGGGCAAGAAATGGAGGAAGAAAGCAAAATTCTAGCGTAAAGATACAGAGTATCCCTTACCCTAAATGCTTCAGGCTAGAAGTGTTTCAGACTTTGGAGATGTTCAGATTTTGCAATATCTGCATAGACAGTACTGGTTGAATGTCCCTAATGTGAAAATCTAAAACTCTGATAAACTTTGACAGCATTTTGCATTTCAGATTTTGGGCATAGGGATGCTCAGCCTGCTAGGAAAAGAACTGCGTAAATAGGATCCCATGAGCTTGGCCTTGAAAACTCGTGATCATTATGTGAGGATAAGAACTGGGGTTGGAACAGTGCTGGGAAGAAAAGAACAATGGGAAGAGAAAACTGTGCTTGCAAATTACAGACAATGTAAAAAGAGCACATTAATATTGCAGTTAGGTGGCTCATCTTTCTGTCAAAATTTGACACAGATTTTTTTCCAAGACAATATGCCGAAACCATATTCTAAAATAATTATGTGATGTATGCATTTGTAAACCTTCTCTACCCCTAATTTCTGCTACAATTTTTAGTAAGTATAGTACTCATAGTACCTAAATTCCTTTAGAAGTAAATGCTTAAGCACATTTTACTGTCCTCCTTTCACTGAGGAAGGCAGTAACTGACAAGCATGAGTCAAACAGAATTTGATGAACACTTCACAGCCAAAACTGTAATAGTAGCCTAGCAATTGCAGCCAAAATGTGTGTATATGAATTTCGAAAAGTGGAGGAGAAAAGCCAAAATCTTTTCAACAAATGGTGCTAGAATCCATCAGGTAAGAAAGAAAAAAAGCCTTATCCAAGAGAGTCACAGACCTACACATCAGCACCCAAACCATAAAACTTCTAGAAGAAACCAACAGTCTCTTCTCACCTTGGGGGTGGGCAAAGATTCTTGAGACCATGTAAAGCAAAAACCATATAAAAAAAACCTGATGTTGGATTTCTCAAAATTAAAAACTTAATGCCTTTTAGAATATAAGCAAGGAAGCCACAGATGGAGAAAAGTATTTGCAAAACGTTTATCTGAGGTCAGTGAGAACCAGGAGTCAAAGAGGAAGAATGCGGAGCATGGGCAAAGGGACAACAAGTTCCCTTTGGGGTGGGTGAGAATGTTCTGGAATTCAGAAAGGAGTGATGGCTGCACGGCTATGTGAATACACTAAAAACCAGTAAAACATACACATTTGACAGGGTGCACTTTATGGTATGTGAATTATATCTCTTTAAAGCTGATATCTCAAAATCAAAACAACAAAACACAAGAGGGCTAGGGATATTGCTCAGAAGTAGAGCACATGGGTTTGACCTTCAGCACTACCAAAGACAAAAGAAACAAATGAACAAATAAAAATAGTAACAGAAGCCCATACATTTGAAAAGAACTTGCACCCAGCACATATACAGGTGCCCTAGACAACCTAGTTTTTAAAAATAGTCTTATTTTTGACACTTCCCAAAGGATGATATACAAGTGGCTTACTGCCTCAGTCACTTTTCTCATTGCTGGCACAAAATGCCAGACACCGGGAAATAAAGGGAGAGGTTTACTTTGACTCATTTGCTGACCCTAAGGCAGAAACGGCATGGTGGCAGAAATGGCTTGGCAGAGAGGCTGCTCACACCACGGCGGCCAGAAAGCAGACAGAAGGGAGGAGGGAAGCAGTGGAGCACGCGCCCACTAGCATGCCTCTTTCAATAAGGCCTCACCTCTTAACAGCCTATTTAGCTCTGAAGTTATTCATGGATTAATCCACGGGTGAGTACAGTGCCCCCATGATCCAACTGCTTTTCAAACAGCCTGCCTCTGAGGACATAAGGTTTGGGGGACGTTCTAAAACACAGCTCTAATCATCACATGAGAAGGTTCTAAACATCATTATTCCTCAAGAAAATTAAATTACCTGGGTTCAATCTCCAGTACCAACCCCCTCAAAGCAAAACAAAACAAAACCAAAGAAGATGAAATTAAAGCAACGAGATATCAGTATATCTCCACCAGAATAGTTACAATTAAAAAGATTAACACCATCAAAATGGGCAAAGAACATGCAATAATGGAAGCTCAGTGTAGGTAGGAATGTTGACAGGTATGTAAGTAGTACAGCCTCTTTGGCAAAAGGTTTGGCCTTTTTTTTATAAAGTTAAATACACCAAGGGGCTGGGGATTTAGCTCAGCGGCAAAAGCACCTGCCTGGCAAGCACAAGGTCGTGAGTTCAGTTCCCAGTACCAGAGAAAAAACAAAAACAAAACAAAACAAAAAGTTAAATACACCAATCACATGACCTAGCAAATCTTAAATATTATTTATTCAGGAGAAATAAGTTATAGACCATATTAAAATTATACATGAATATATCCACAGCAGATCTATTTGTGATATTCCCCAACTATAAGCAACCAAATAGAGACATAGGAAATTGACAAAGAACATATGGTATGCATACCATAGACTACTACTCAGCAAAAAAGGAATGAACTATATGATACAAATGTGGCAGGATGAATAATGGCCCCTCAAGATGTCTACATCCTAATTCCTGGGACCTGTGAATGTTACCTTACTGAAAAAGAGACTCTGATTAAGTTAGGGATCTTGAGATAGGGAGATTATCTTGGGTGAGTGGGAAACATTAAATGTGACCATAAGTGTCCTTATAATAAACAGAGGAAGATCTGACTATAGAAGAAAAGGCCATATGAAAATGGAAGCGGAGATTGGACTAACAACGACAATGATGCTAACAGCCTGAGAAGCTGGAAGAAACTTAAGGAACAGATTTTCCCTGGAAGCTCCAGAAAGAGCCTTTCCCCCAGCAACCTGATTTCAGCCCTTTAAGACTCACTTCAGACTTCCGACCTCCAAGACTGTAACAGACTAAACTTGTTTTAAGTCACTATATTTATGAATTATATTTGTTTATAAACTTAAATTTGTTATCGCAGCAATGGAAATAAGCAAAAATAGTTCAATCTACAGAACACTACACTGAATTAAAGGAGCCTAGGCAAATAATAGACAAGTGCATACCAAACAATAGCTCTTCTATGAAATGCTAGCACAGTATGAAATTCAAAGCCAGTTCCCAAGTGGAGTCTGATGGTGGGGAACTGACTGGGCAGGGCGCGAGGGAACTTTCTGAGGTGATGATATGTGCTATGTCCTGATAAGCACTTGGGTAGGAAACATGTACCCATTTGTCAAAACCTATCAGATGATAGTTAAGATCTGTGCATTGCGTTATATGTCAATTTTATCTCAAAAAGAAAAGTATTAATCCCTAGCTGATGGTATACAAGTTACATATTTTGGGGTAAAATGTACTGATATCTGACAACTTTGATGTTTTCAGTTTTATTTTTTTCTTTTATGGTACTGAAGCTTGACCCTAGGGCCTTAGGCACGCTAGGTAAGCACTCTACTCTTAAGCCAAATCTCCAGTGTACTCTGAAAGTACAGATAAAATATATTTGAAAATGCAAAGATATGATGAACTGATAGGCCAGATGTGGTGGTCCCCATGCCTGTAATCCCAGCACTTAGGAGGCAGAGGCAGAAGAGTCACAAGTTCACATCCTACCTGGGCAACTTAACAAGATCCTGTCTCAAAATAAAAAATCAAATGGGCTGGAGAGGTAGTTCAGTGCCAGGGCTGAAGGAGTAATGAACTGATGGATAGAAGAAAAAAGATGCTTGGCATGGTGGCACACACCTCGAATCCCAGAACTTGATAGGCTGAGGCAAGAGAATTGCCGTAAGTTTGAGGCAAACTGGGGCTACATAGTGAGTTCAAGGACACCCTGGACTACATAGCAAGATTCTGTCTCAAAAAACCAAAACCAAACCAAACCAAAATAAAACAAAAACAAAAAAAGAAAAAGAGATTAAGTGACAAAGTAAATATAGCAAACTGTTAATCGTACAATGTAGAAGGTAGGTATATAAGAATTCACCATAAAATTTTTCTCAACTTTTCTGCGTATTTGAAATGTTTTGGAATACAAAAGCAGGGGGAAAAGTAGGGAAAACACCTACCATTTCTTTCTTCCTGCTTCCATACATGAGGATCAGCGTATACAATTTTACTGTATCTTTGGCGAACTGTCTCCTGATATTTCTTTAAAAAAAAAGTTTTATTTATGAGAAGAAATGAGTTTCATTATAAAACAGATCTAGTAAGGATGGAAAAATTCAAGAGATCCCATTAATTGCTGAGAATGAGCATCTGCCAGGCCAGGACGTGATCAAGAGGTGAGGTCTAAAGTCAAGTACTGCAATTAACACGGCTGCAATCTAGATCAGCACTTCCACTAGCACTTGCTGTGATGACAGTGTTCTCATCTAAAACAGTGGCCACTAACTACCAACCACTTGTAGTGTGTTTTCATTTTAATTTACATTTCAATCTGCACATGCGGCTTGCAGCTACTTTGGGACAGCTCAGGTCTGGGCAGTGATCCCCAAGAAAAGGAAAGCAGTTGTGAGACCAGGATAAAATACGTATCTTTAAATTTTCAATAATCAACAAAAATTTATTTTCTGTGTAATGTTTCTATTTAGCAGCAAAAAATGAATGTGATTAATCACAGAACTATTAAAAAATACCAAACTTGGTAGCAGGAAACCTGAATTCTCATCCTCGCTCTCCCAGCAATTTTTTTTGTGCGACCTTCGTCACATCACTCTTTCACTGGGTCTCAATTTAATTGCTCTGAATAATCCAAGGGTTATGTTAAGTAATGTCTGGGATCTGAAATTTTATAAGAAAAACATTCTAAAAGTAGTAGTATGGAAATTAAAGTAACATCTGTGATTTGAGAGGATCAGACTCTAGCAGGGTAGAAGAAGCAACTGAAGAGTACTTACAAGCTGTCAGATGGTCCCATCTGTGGAACTAGATCGGGGTCCCAGTGGTTTTGGAATCATAAATCATTGTTATTAGGGGGATAATGATAATGATCACTAACTGGCTTACATCTAAGACAGCATTCTGACTCTGACTCTTTATACTTCACTCTATCTTCAAAAACCTTCCTTATTAGACAGGGTAAGTGATATACCAAGGTGATACACTTAGCTGGCAACAGAACTGGATTCAGAAGCAGAACCATGTGACTCTGACATATTAAACACCAGAGACATGACAGAGAACAGAGGTGAGTGCCCAGTGGGAAACCAGGTCACAAACCCCAGACCTTACTTCCATTTCCTCCATCCGGAGCATCATGGTCTCCAGATTTGGGCTGTCCTTGCTGTCCCACAAGGTTTCTGACCCCAAAATCTTATCATGAGTCATAGCCCAGAGCTCATGAGCAGCATCTTCCAAAAAGTTATCCAGCTGATGAATATTGTTGAATTCAGAATTAACTGCTGTATCCTATAAAACAAAGAGGGGTGGAAAGGTGATACAAAGAAATGAGAGAAATTTATTAAAGACTATTGCTGATCACAATAAACCAACAGCATAATGATCCAACTGGCAGAATTTCTATGCTAAAACAAACCTCTCCTAAGTCAGTAAATAAAAAAAAGCACTAATATGAGTACAATTTTTATCGAGGACATTAAAATCATAGTACCGAACGTGTAAATACCATTAACGTCTATGTAAATTAGTATTATCATCTGTTTTGCCAGTTGGTAAAGCATACCTTCTTTTTGCCATATTTAGGAGAATGCACCATATTTTACGTGTCACAAACAGTAGAGGACAGAGCTCTTCCCTTTTGGGTCAATGCTTTTGTAAAAGCCTCATGGTATCACAAAGAGCAGGACTGTTTTGTCTTTGCCTGGGACTCTATGGTTATAATCTCAGAGTTTTATTGGCCTTTCTTGATTTTATATTCTTTACATTCACAAAGTGCTTTATATAGCTTCTATATGCATTTTATTTCTCTCGATTCTAATATATAGTCTATACTCTCCTCAGAAAGAGGTTTTTACAACGTCTGCTAGGCAAAGTATAAGATATTCTTGGGATTAAAGCCTGGTTTTGCCCACTCATAAGCCTGCAGCTTGGGCAAGTTTATCAACCTTTCTAGGCCACAGTCTTCTCATCTGTACTATGGAAATAATAATCTTGTACTTCAGAGTTAGAAAGGTTTCATGAGAACTTGTTTGTTAGAACACTTAGCACAGTGCTTGGAAGGAAATCAGACAGTCAGTGAAAGGATACTGCTACAATAATCTTAAAAAGCATTTTCAACAGTTTGCAGAAAAAATGTATTAATTGCCAATGAAGATATAAAAATGTTCAATCTTAATCAAAGTTAAAGAAATAACAGTAACTTTGGCCAATATAATAAAATTAGAAAAAATCTAGACAACTTACGCAATAATACAGATCTAGTTAATTAAGATATGTGTGTATGTTTATATGTGTAATATATTCCATCTATAAAGGATGGAGTGCCAAAAACACTAAGTGCCATTAAGAAGGATAAAGAAGGTCTCAATGTGAAGATATGGAAAAAACACCAAAATAAAAAGAAAAAAGCATGTTATAGAACAGCATATGATCTGTTAGAGGGGTGGTTTAACTTTTAATACTACACTTTTTCTGAACTGTTTTCTTTTGGGCTACATATACATAATTATTACTATTATTATTATTATTATTATTATTATTATTATTTGTCTTTTTGAGACAAGGTCTCGCTAGGCAGTTCAGGCTGGCCTTGGACTCACTTATGTAGCCCAGGCTGGCCTCAAACTAGCAACAATCCCCCTGCCTCAGCCTCCCGGGTGCTGGGATTACTGGCATGCGCCACCACGCCCGGCTATATATAATTTTTAATTCTAAATAAAAACTATACATTTTAGAAAAATGTATTTCCTATACAACTTTAATTAAAACAGCTGCAGTAACAGACGAATATGTTAATCGTGGTTCCCTTGCAAGAACTTTTCCCTGCTTCCTGCTATCAGACACCATTTTGCTTACAGGTAAATCTAGTGAGAGCTGAATTTTACTGGTTAAGTTCAAGTGAAATAAGACAAATGTCTTCTCCATTTTAAAGATGATAAACCTGAGAATTTGTGTTCAAGGTACCACCACTCTTTTATAAGTTAACATTGGAAAAAAAAATTCTACTTCATCATGATATCTTCTGTGAGTTAGTTCATTTAGGTTTATTTATTCTATTCAGTTAATTACAAACAATCACTATTAATGGCACTGCCTGAGAAATCCCTTGCAAAGATGATAATATGTATAATATCCTAGAACTCTAAATAGCAAAGTTACTTTTCTCTTTCAATAAACTGTATTACAGATGATTTAAAGCTTAATTCTAACATAAACGGCTGACGGCTCCTAGTAACACTCAGACACATCTACTTTGTTGTCAGCAATTATAGTCACTTGTTTTCCTCTTTAGGCAGCTTTGTTGCCTCCACAGGTTGGATATTAGCCCACTGTTCTGCGGAGGTGTGATGGGGGTCATTCAGCGGCTGTGCTGCCCAAATACCAAGCTGCAGCACACCTGAGAGTGCAATGACCAAGTGCAGGCTTTCAGCTTCCAGTCACAGAAGCCTCATTTCACATGAAATTCTGTCACAAAGTATTTTTTCTTTTTTGTCACAAAGTATTGATACAAAAATATTATAATTCAAAAATCATGGAAATATGCTACAGCTAGTAACAATTATAAGAGGGATAAATTCTCAAAACTTTTCTTCCTGCTCCCAAGGTCACTGGGCCGGTGGAGACTCATTCCACCTTCCTTCTCACTCTGATCACATGGATGCCACTTGTACGCCACAGCCTTAAACCTAAGCAAGGCAAGGAGCCTTCCCAAAAATATGAGAAAAAGGTTCTCTAGAGGAAGAGCATAGAGTGTACAACAAAATGTTCTTCTTGTTTTCAACTGTTTTCATTTCTTTCTTGACCAGCTCATTTCTTTGCCAGGCCAGATACTGGTCATACACTAAGCACTCACAACATGCCTGCCTAACAAAGCCATTAGGCCCTAAATATAAAGGAAATTAGGTCAGTAATGAGCTGAAAGAAAGGAAATGAGGGCAGCCATTCTTCTGGAGCAAGCCATAAACACTCAGGGCCACAGTGCACCCACATTCTGTCGTCAGCAGGAGATAAAAGGGCCACTGACAAAAACCTGTGGCTCTAGTGATGTCTGTAAGCTGTCTGTAAGGCTGATCTAAGTCATAATGCTAGATAAATCCTGTAAAAATTAACATGCCAGATATGAAAAATAATTTTCACCTGCCTTGAGTAGGATAATATACTGTCTGTGAAGTAATGTGCACACCATTTTCCTTCAACTAGAGATATTATCATGTAATAATACGAAAATACCAACAACACACCTGCTTTGCAGGCTGGGCTGCTGCTGTGTTTGATGATGGACGATCCTTCAAAGGAGTATTTGCTTCCACAGAAGAATTAACTCTCTATTCAAATGGACAAATATATTCATGGATTATAAAAACTTACAATTCGTATTAGCACAAATGAATGCTATTACTAGAAAAACTTCTGCGTACAACTATTCATCAGCTCAAGCTCCACTAGGCTTTCTGCAGCAATTAAAGCACTTCTGTCTTCAAGAAAATAAATGCCATGTGTTGTTCTTGGCTCTGCATGCTTTTCCCTCCAACTCTGTAAACACTGCCAGAATAGCTGTGTGCTATTATGCAAGTCATTCAACTTCTCTGATCCACAGTTTCCACAAAGATAAAATGTGCAGGCTGGACTCTTTCACCTGTAAGAGGCCTCCAAGGTCAATATTCCTGAGATTTTATTCACAGAGTCTAATAATAATTTAACATTTCTTAACCTAGAAATATGGAAGTTCAGAGGTCTGTGCAGAGACCCAGAATGTCATTCATTCCATTTAAAGCTATATTTTTCTGTGGCCTCAGCTTATCCCAACACAATGGTTTCTGTTTACAGGTGGAGCTACAGGATCTGGCTATAGCATTAATTTAGCTCACAGCTTATACAATGATGGCACAATCTCTTGGTAGTGCTACAGGCCATTTCATCTTTAAGAAAGTAGTGGTTGTGCAAAGACATGCCCTAGTCACTCTATCTTTTGGTAGAATAGAGTCAATTGTTCCAAACCACTGAGGTAAGCAAGGACAGTGTTAGACTGAAGCAACTCACTGAATGCTAATGTCACCAACCGATCTACTTGGTTAGGAATGGAAACTGCAATGTAAACTTCTGTCCAAAGTAAACGCTCATCTTTCTCAAGAGCAGGACTCTTCTTTGCCCCTCATCTTTACCTCTTCCCTATCACAGAGGACACATCAATCGTGTGTGGCAGTCTAGGGATGTCAAAGGCATAGCAGCTCTGTGCCCGAGCTCTGCGCCCCATGCTGATCAGCATTGCAGCTTCCAGCTGCCAAACAGACACCTGACCCTAAGGGGGTCTGTGGGACCTTTGCAGCAACTCTTGTGTACTGCAGAACTTGTAAAAAGCAAGTAAATGGAATAAACTAGATTACCTGGGCCTTGACCAAGAGGGGCTTCAAACGCTCCAGAACTGCCGCCTCTACCTTGTCTGCTAACTGGGTGGCAGAGACACTAGAAATAAAATAAAAAATTCATGTCAAAAGCCTAGTTTGCATACTGTTCTAACTACTTCAGATGAAGAGAAATCAAATGATTAAAAACCACAGTGCTTCTCTAACTATAATGCCCATACAAATCGCCTAGGGATCTTGTTAAAATGTAAATTCTAATTCATTTGGTCCCAGGGATGGCTAGATTTTGGATTTCCAACAAGCTCACAGGTGATACAACACTGTTGGGCTGGACCCTACTTTGAGTATGAGGGCTCAGGCCACATCTGGACAAGTAGGCTCCGAGGATACTTTAAAACAGATTCAGCCTGTCTCTAAACAGGCTGAATCAAAGAAACTAATTTTGTTCATTTTTAAATCCCCACTAGAACAACAGTAGAATTAGATATAAACCCACAAAAACAAGGGGGGAAAAACTGTGCTGGAAAACAAAGGACATAAGTGTTAACTAATTCAGCTGACCCAAGAAAGCTGAATTTTAGGCCAGGAATATGGGAAATTGAGAACCACGTACTATGTATGGTTGACCATTTTGAACAGGCATGTTACTGGCAGCACCAGGAGTTTCTAGGCCTGAGGAAAACTGGGAGGGGGTGGCTTAAAGTGGAAGACAAGAGTCAAATGGCATTTGGAAGTTAGAACCCTAGGTCCCTTGCCCAACTTCCCATAATTTGACAACTACCTCTCTCCAACTGTGAGTCTCGCTGCTCATTCTCTGAAGGGTCTCTGGTTTAGGAGTGACCAATCACAGTGAAGGCTGTCAGTACAGTACTGAGAAGAGGCGGGCTGAACGCTGAGCACTAAGACCCACTGCCTCCTCCCCAGTTCAGTTCCTATGGCACCTGTGTCCAGATCCTTACCCTCTGGGTGAAAGATCAAAAACATTTTCCCTGGACAGTCTGACCCACATGAAAAGTTAAGAGTGAAAGAGAATGACAGGGCCCTCAACAGTCCATCCAGATGGTCCAAAGGTGGCTTAAGTTCAACAATCCCTTCATCAACTGGTGCTTGAACAGACAGATTCCATAAAGGAACACATGACCTATGACCAGTATCTCATCTCACATATAAAAATTAATTCAAAGTGGATCACAGACATTAAAGTTACAAAGTATTTAGAAGAAAACACAGGAGAACATCTTTGAATTTACAAAAAGACCTGTTTAAAAAAACTGCAAACTGTTCTTAATCATAATTTAAAACTCCTAGTCCCTATTAAAGAGATAAAGGTAATCATTATGCACTGTAAACATGTACTAATGAAAAAAACAAGATATATAGGGTAAGCTCAGTCTTGGGAGGAAGAATCTGTTGCGCATACATCTGGCAAGGGGCTTGCATCCAGAAATATGCAGTGGTACCTCAGTCCACGAACTTAATTCTTTGCACTCTTCTGGTTGCAAACCAAACTGGATGAGAACTGAATCAAATTCAATGGTTAGGTTCAACGTTGACCTTCTGGGGAAATTTGATTTTGTTCTCATCCAGTACAGTTTGTGATCAAAATCATGGGAAAAAGTTCGTGGACCAAGGCACCAAGAACTCAAATCAATAATTAAAAAAACAAAACACCAATGAAAAATGGGCAAAAGACTTGCATGGATATTTCACAAGAGGCACCAGAAAAGGTACTCATCATTAGTCAGCAAGGAAATGCAAAAATAAAACCACAAGGAGATACTGCTGTATTCCCACCAGAATGGATAAAGTTTACAAGACTGGCAAGACCAAACATAAGCAAGGACGTGAAACAAGTAATGAAGAACTCCCAGGTACTGCTGATAGTAGTATAAATGTTACAATTGCTCTGAAAAATTTATATGGCCAATTTTGTAAAGGTGAACAACTACCTATCCTATGACCTAGAAATCTGACTTAGGTATCTATTCAAGAGAAATTAAAGCATCTTTCTATAACTTTACTTATACTAACTAAAAATGGGGAACAACCCCAATATTAAATCACAAAAGAATGGATGAATATAATGTGGTATATTCCTGTAACTGACAGCAATAAAAAGGAATGAACTATACTGATGCAGGCACTATGTGTGCATCTCCAATATCTCGTTGAGCAAAAGAAGTCAGACACAAAGGAGTGGACCCTGACAATTCTGTGATTTGAAGTCCATGGGGAGGGAAAACAATCATACAGGGACAGACAGCCCAGAGTGGCTCCTCTGTAAGGGATGAGGTCGTACGGGGTAAGGGAATGACTAGATAGAAAATGTGGGAACATTCTAGGTTGATAGACATTTTCTTTACCTTGACTGGGGCTTTTGTCAATGTATAATGCATTTATCAAAACTCACTGGACTGTACTTTAATTCTTTGCATTTTACTATACGTAAAGTGTATCATAATAAAACAATTTTTTAAAAACCCTAACACCACATACTAATTCAACCGGTAACCCCTACATTTAAACATCAGAAGATACTGAAGGACTACCAGCTGAGGAAAGAAAAGGGAGACATTAAATAGAGCACAGTAGGGAACCGCTGTTGTTAGTATACCTAAGGAGGGGCTGGGGATTTAGCTCAGAGGCAAAAGCGCCTGCCTGGCAAGCGCAAGGTCGTGAGTTCGGTTCCCGGTACCGGAGAATAAAAAAAAAAAAAAAAAAAAAAAAAAGTATACCTAAGGAGAAGGCAGCACATCCATGGAGGAGGAGACTAGTCAGTAAGAGAAATTTGGAAAATGCAATAGAGCTCTTACACTTTACAAACCCTGCAGCAGAAACAACAAACTTAACAAGTTAAAAGTAAGTGTGAAGAAATCACTTCCTGGGGTGGCGGGGCGGTACGAGAGGGGAGGGGAAAAAGAAAATAGGAAAAATCAGGTAAAAAAATCAGAGGCTCTGTGGCGATTGGAAGGTGACCTGGGAATGGGAGAAGACCGGAGGGCAGGGAGGGGAAGAGGAAGTAATAAGGATCAAGATGTGGTAAGTACAGGTACCACTGTGCACAATGGATATATGCATATGTCCTGCAGACATGTACTAACAAAAATGTTTTTTAAAAGAATGGGAGAAAAAAAGGAAAGAAAAGACATTCAGAGGAGCGATCCAGGAAGTTCAACATCAAACTGGAGGAGTTGCAGAAAGTGAGAAAAGAGGAAAGAGGCAAGGAAAACAAGTGTAAAATAAAGCAAGAATATGTCTTAGAATTGAAGCAAATAAGCTGCCAGATGAAAAAAGGGCTACTGATAAATGAAAATACATACACATCCAGTGCTACTGCTATAAAACTTTAGAGCACTGCAGAAGAGTATAAATTTCTGCAGGAAGATCAAGAAGATTCAGATTTCTTGCAAAACAATGACATGATGCTCTAAAAATTTTGATCTGACTTCTTCTGAGTGGAGAAAAAGAATAAATACATTTCCTGTATTATTCCTGTTAAGTACAACTAAGAACTCTAGATATCAAATATAAACCAACAGAAGAGGATGTGAAGGCAGAGCAGCCAGGAACTCTGGGACCCAAAGAATGACATGGTGCTGAGTTATCTGGATTTTCTGTTTTGTCTCATATATCCCCAAAGTAGATACTTGTAAAGCCAGCCACCCAGAAATGCAAATAGAAACATACATACTACATAAAATAAAAGCCCACTTGCTTTGGCCAAAGGTCCAAGAAAGGGGCAGCCTAGGAAGACAGATAAAGACAGAATGGAGAGAAAATAACTACATTAAAAAAATGCTCAAGAGCCAGGCATGATGGCATGTGCCTGTAATCTCAGCACCTGGGAAGCTGAGGCAGGAGAATCACCATGAATTTAAGGCAGCTTGGGCTACACAGTGAGTTTATGGCCAGCCTAAATTACAGTGCAAGACCCTGCCTCATAAAACCAAAACAACAAAAAAAACACAACCAAAATACCAAAACCAAAACAACAACAAAAAACCTCCTGGTGGGAACAGAGAGAAGCATTCTGGAAATCTGGCAGTTTTATGCAAAGCTAAAACATACAATAAACATACAATCCAGCAATCACACTCCAGGCATTTATCCCAGACAAATTAAAGCTTATATTTGTGCAAACACTAATGTTTATAGAAACTTTATTCATAGTATCTCCAAACTGGAAACAAGCCAGATGTCCCTCAGGTATTTAACCAGGCGAACGGTTAGGCAAATCATAGTACTTCCCATCACACACTGCTATGCAACAACGAAAAAATGAACAAATGATCCACACAATGACCTGGATGAATCTTCAGAGAATTATGTAAAAGATAAAAAAAGTCAATGCCAAAAGGTTATATACTGCATCTTTTCACTTATATAACAATTTTAAAATAAAAAGTAGAAACGGGGAACAGATTAGTGGTTGTCATGGGTTACTTAGCCAAGTAGTGGATGGGGACAGAAGAAGAGTAGGTGTGGCTGTTCAAGGGGGGCACTGTGGATCTTTGTGGTGATGGAAATGTTCTTGACTACACTGGTGTCAATCAAATGAGTCTTCACTACCTCAGTGTCAACATTCTGGTTGTAGTACTGTACTATAGTTTCCCAAATCTTACACTATAGATTTCCCTGCATTATCACAACTTCATGTGAATGTACAATTTTTTTTTTGAGACAGGGTGTCACTATGTACTTAGGCTGGCCTTGAACTTACTATGCAGCCCAGCCTAGCTTCAAACTCATGAGGATTCTCCTGCTTCAGGCTCCCGAGTGCTGGGATTACAGGTGTGTGAAACCATGCCCAGCCTGAATGTACAATTACCTCAAAAAGTTAAAAATTATTTAAAAATTTCCACTAAAATGATCTTCAGTTAAAATTCCATATCCAGTTAGACTATCAGTGAACATGAGTAGAATAAAAACATTTTTAGACTTGAAAGGTATGAGAGATTTATTTCCTATTCATCCTTTCTCAAGAAAGTAACTTAGGATGTGCTCTATCAAAACGTGCAAGTACGCTAAGGAAGAAGACAATGCAGTATGGAAAACCACACAAGCAAGCAAACCAGGCCCAGTAAGTGGCTCATCTGGCCCTGATGCTGATACAGTTCCTGCTCCTCCTCTGTGACCACAAAGGATGGCCAAGAGCTGAGAAGCAGAGTATGACAAGTCAGCCCCATCCCCCAATCAGGCTTCTTCCAGAAGGCCAGTGGACCATAGCCCCTCTGAAGTGACAAGCGTTGCATCTGCCAGGACTCACTCAAGAGCTTGCTGGCTGATTTCCTGGGGTGGGTTCCTAAAAACTCCTAAGGAAGTAGAAGTCAGACTGTGACTGAGACTCTGTGGAACCTATTTTCCTCTAAAGAGTCTTCATCTAATGCCAGCAACACTGCTTTCTTTGTTCTGCCAGATTTGTGCATCTCAATTACTGGTAAGGATACATACATAGATGGCAGATTTATGAAGAAGGGTAACGAGACGATAACACAGAAATCAGGTTAGTAGCTGCCTCTGAGGGAAAGGACGGAGATAAGGAGGGGCACACTGAAAGCTTCTACATAGTGGTAATAGTCTATTTCTCGGTGGTACCTGGGTATTCATTTTGTAATGAATACCTGGGTTATGCATGCACATTTAGAATGTCCTTCTAAATGTATATTTTATTTTTTGAACAAAAAATCATAAAACAGATTGAGCACAGAGGATTATCGTTTTGCGGATTATCGTTTTGCTACACGGTTCAAAGGACAAGTGGGAAGGAGTCACAGGGAATCAAATTTCAGGACAATCTAAGTTACTCCTTCTAATAGCTACAGAGGACCAAGGGATGGGCTCCCTCTGACAGTATGAAGTATCCCATCACATAGGGTGTATATGCGTATGCTAAACAGTTACTTTGTGGAAACATTACAGGGTCGCTGGAAGAATCAGTTGAGGGAAAAAGATCCTTCAAATCCGAAGATTCTACGATTGTATCACTTGAAATCTTAACTATGGAAAAAACATCTTGGCCCTCGAATGACAGAACCAAAGCCTTATAACTGGAATTGAACACACTGTCGTGAATGGTGAAAGAATACACAGATGCTTCAATAAGTGTTTTATTTATTTGACTGTAGGGTGAGTGATTATCAGAGCTGAAAAAATGAGACAACTTCTTCATGCCTGTAGTTAGAGGGTAACACTCTGAGGAAATGAATAGGAATAATAAACCTCACTTGAAAACTTCAGAATGCATTCAAGCAAACATATGAAACCACAGTATCTACGCATTCACCCATAAGCAGAACATGCACAGCATACTGACCTCCTCTGCCCTTAGCAGGACTGGCACCTGGCTGGGGAAAAGAATCTTTGAGACCATATAAACAAATAAACAAATATAAGAGTCTAGTATTTCACAGAGGGCCATGCCCAAATTATAGATGTTTTCTCAATTCTCCCTCAAACTCCAAAGAAAGGAAACATTTTCTACCAAAAAAGTGATGTAATGCATGTTCACATGCAGGTGCCCATTCACTAATTCATGCATGCATTCCCTTATTCATATAATGAGGGTAAGCTTATGCAGCCCCAGTTAGTTGTTAAAACTATCTGGATCAATTAGAACAGACAAGCATCTGCTAGTGTTCCTCAGAAGCAAACACATACCTTAATTTTTGGATTCGATCCATTTCTTCACTTTTTAATTCCTCCAATTCCTTTGTTCTCCTCGAAGTTTCGGCATCAAGCCAGGTGAGCCTAGTGGACAGTAGAGAGTCACCCCAACTCTCCTCAAGACAGAGTCAGATTCACTTGGGTTCTAACCTTGGCTCTGCTATTTGTTTCTTAGGTGGCTTCACAGCCTTTGCAAGAGACAGAAAGCCAAGAGGCATTAAAGTAGGGCTGGAAATGAACAATCTCAAATGGTTGCTGAGATAGTGATATAGAGTACGTCCTGCTTAACATTTTTCTCCCTCAGCAACAAATATTTACCTCTGTTTTTGCATTCTGTCCATTTCTTTGGCTTTTGAGTCTTCTAGTTCCTTCAACCCTTTGGAAGATTCAGCATCAAGCCAAGCGAGCCTAACAGATAGTACAAAAGGGTCCAACCAATTATGCTGTAGGGCACCATGACCACGGAAACAGAGCAAAAGGTAGGGACCCCCACCCCCGCATCAAACTTTGCTCCATTTAAGACTCCATAAGAAATGAAACTCCTCTGTACCCATAAAAGCATTCCACATTTCCTATACAAAGAAATGTATGCACGAAAGCACTCTGAATTGTATGCAGAACAAAAAGAAGCTGCCCACAAATGTTCTCAAGAAAACTAGATTGCTGTACTTAGGAGTCTTGTTAGACTAAAACAAAGCCCTAGCTGTACTTTCAAGTCTAGACAAAGAAATGGATCCCTAAGTAGATATAACAAAGTAAAGTAAAAACAAAAGGGAAAAGTTACCTCCAAACAATGTTATTGTATACAAAAGGGATTTGGTTCTGTTGGTTTAGGGTGTGTATTATCAAATTACTTCAGGATTGCACTTTCATTTTTTAAGCTCTAGGATCAAACTTGGTCTCATGTATGCTAGGGAAATGTTCTACCACTAAGCCATACTCTCAGTCCTAATGACTCATTTTTATTTTCCTTTCCCACAATTGGAAGATAATTTCAGCCAAACAAATACAGAGTGACCTGTTTTCACTGCTCTCTTCCTTTGAAATGTTCTCAGCATAGCCCCCATATTTAAATCCTGCCTGCACAAGTCCTCGTTTAATTTCTATCTCCCTCCGTGAAGCCTGGATTTTCACAGCAAGAAGTAACTTCTCTGCCTCCTAAATTCTCTCAGTTCTTAGGGTACATACAGTGTTCTACCTTAAATTATAGCTAATTACATACTTTTCCTGTTGATTCTAACTAAGCAGGAGCTAGGGTTATGTCTTACTTGCTCCCCCCCTTTTTAAGGTCTTCACAGAACTCACAACTGTGTCATATATAAAACTAGCAATTGATACACAATTAACACACATATAATTTTTCAATGAATGAAATCAGGAATGAAAGAGGAGCTCATATAAGCTGTATAGTTTAACAGAAAAGTTTAATAATCTACATTTTAAATAACCAACTTTAGGTATGGAGAAGACAAGAAAGGGTTTACGTCAGAGTCTGTAAAAGGAGTCCTTTCATTTTCAAAGATTTGAAAAAATACCAGCACAAACCTGGCTGCCTCATGCTCTATGGCACCCCTCAGCTGACCTTCCTCTGGTGCACATTCTTGCTGGAGAGACTGTTCTTTTGCAGCATCTCTGGGGCTACATTTCACCTTTAGCCACGCAGCGCTGCACAGAATGGAAAAGTATACCTCTGTCATCATTCACTCCACGTCTGATGACTCATCCAAAGGTCCCAGCTCAGAGGAGACAAGAGCATTAAAGTCATGGTGATCTATAGCATGGAGCACCCTAAATGGGAAGCTGAAGGTGAAGAAAAGCAAGGTTCTCCAGTACTCACATCCAGTGTCAAAGGGGAGAAGTTCCTTTTGCTTCAAAGAAGCAGTTACTACTTTAAATGGAAAAACAGATGGAATTACAGAACAGAGGGTAAACTTCAACAAAACCTGCTTTAATAGGTGGGGCTGAATCAGTAATAATATTCCCCATTACATTCCTATATGCTCCTTTACAAAGTCTAATACAGCACAGTGAGCAGAGAAGCTGTATGGGCTCCCCTCCTCCACTGCCACACATGCACTCCTAAAGGTAAACCACTGGGTATTGGGTTTGCAATACCAACTTCAATCATGTTTTTATGGGCTTACTAATTAAACTCATATCTCTGTGTTTATGTATGTGTGTATGTATGTGTGTGTGTGCGTGTATATATATATATATATATATATATATATATATATATATAAAAGAACACAGTAATTAAAAGCAGTATATAATGCAATCAGAAGACCTGATTTTAGTGTCAAGTCTGTTATACAAGTAAGACGTTACATTCTCTCAACATTGCTTCTTTCACCTCGCAATGAGGACTGATGGCTAAACACTACCACTGAGTCGGAACCACTGAGAATCTGAAGGGGAACTCTCTTGCCTGACTGCTTACTCTGTCCTCTGATGGCCTCCCTAGCTGCAGCCTCCAATTACCGCCTTTTTCCCTTGTTCTCCTTGCATTACTGGTTTTTGCTTCCTTCTTTGTATTATTCTACCCCTGTCCTTTCTAGTGTATTATCAAGAACCACTGAACCATGGTGAACAAGCTCCCCTTTATCTTTAACCCAGTTCCCCAAAGACTGTTTCCTAACTGGGCTGTGCTTTCCCTAGAGGTCAATATCTTCCCTTCAGCCCTGTGGAATGACAGACAGCTCCTGATTCTCCATGTGCTATAAAGTGGGTGAAAGACACGAATGCCAGCATTCTCCAAACTGTCCCCTGAAGTTTGGACAATGCCAATGGATTACTTTTAAATGTTTACTCATTCAGCAAAGATTTAATGTGTGCCTATTATGTGCCGGGCAATGGATATTCAACTATAAAAAGACATAGCCTCAAGAAACCAGACTCTGCTGGGAGAAGAGACAAGGGAAGCTCATGATTTTCCCTACAATGACACATACCCATTAAGTACTGGAGTGTCCCTGAAGAGGCCAAGCCACTCCAACCACAGCCAGGTTGAAAAACGAACCAACAAGATCTGAACAAAAAATTCTCATGTATGTTGCACCCACATAAGCACTATTATTATTATTTCTTTTACTACTACTACTACAACAACAACTACTACTACCAAGCATTCTTTCTGCGTTTCTTTCTTTCTTCCCCTCCCCTCCTTTTTCTTTTTGGCTTGTTTGTTTTTTGGTGCTGCTAGGGATTAAACCAAGGACTTTCACACTGAGCTACATACCAATTCTTTTTTTAAAATTTGAGACAGGCAAGGTCTTGCTAAATCATTAAGTTGCCCAAGCTAGGCTTGAACCTGACATCTTCCTGCCTCAACCTTCCAGAGTGCTCAGATTACAGATATGTAGCACCACACCTGGCTAACATTTCTTCTTAATGGGAAGAATTAAAGCTGCTATTTCAACCCAAGGGGATAAATACACTCCCATACCCCATGGTTCCTTAAATCTGTACACACCATTTAGGAGATGCTGGTGGAGAGGTGGGGTGTGGGGGTATCCAAGGTGCCCGATGGTCTCTCACAGGCTGTTGGTTCATTTTTAACCTGGATGAAACTGTCGTCTGATGCAGCCTATTCTTGCTGTGAGGCTGGCTTGATCTACTTTCAGCTTTGTGCAGTCCCTGTAAGAGGTAAATATGAATTACAAAGCCAAACAAATATCCAAGACACCTAGTTTCAACCTCTGACTCACTAAAGTACCCAATGCTTCTTTGCTGTTCCTGCACCCATTCAGAAAAACCTAAGAAGAAAGCACGGCAGTAGGAACTTAGGAGTATAAACTACACTGAAGCAACTCAGATGGTAGTGCTGGAGGGAAAGAACTCAAATGCCTGGCTCTGCCATCTTTCTATGTACAGAAGCTGTATTCCTTTTTATTTATACAATTTTTCCTAATTAAACTTTTAATTTTTAAATTCCATATTGTTTAAAGGGAAATTATAAAATGCTCAGTTAAAAGACTTCACCTTTCTGAGCCTTAGGTCTAAAAGGTATGAACCAAGCTATTTTAGGAAACCACAGAGCACGAGGCTCTGTCTCCAAGAAGAACATCAGGCTGAATTCTTACAGGCTCAATCCTGACTTCTCTGCAACCCCCATCTGAGATATTTTTGGGAAAGAAACAGACTTGACCTTAGTCCATGATCTGTCAGTAACTGGTGATAACTGCTCAATCTCCCTGTTCTGGGGCCATCTGACAACAGACAAGTTTGCTATAGGCACTTTTGGCCAGCACTGACAAATGGCAGTCGCCACAGTATGGCTATTAGGAGTAGGAGGCACACTTCTGGCCAGTTTTACACTGTAGTACCCTAAGAAGGTTTAAATAGAAGTCTAAAATCTACTTTAGCTTCCCACCAAGTTCTAACTACCCAGCTGACTTCCAAAGGCATATTAAAAAGCACTTATCCAAGATGCTCTGTAACATTCAGGGATTTTTCTTTTTTTCACTTTTTGAGACAGGGTCTCACTCTGTAATCCAGGCTGGTTTTGAACTCACTATGCAGCCCAGGTTGGCTTCCAACTCATGACAATCCTCCTGCCTCAGCCTCTCAAGTGCTGCAATTACAGGCATGCACCACCACGCCCTATTCAGTGATCATTAATAAACAATATTTAACATTTTTGCAGTAACTGAAGCTTAAATCCTCTCAAATCTCATACTTTCAAAGCAGAAGCAGAAAACACCCTGAGTTTTAAAATAGCCTTTTCAATTAGGACCTTGGTATCAAATCAGGACAAGGGACAATACCCTGTCCTCGCAACAATATTAAAAACTTTTTTTATTTTTAAAAATTTTTCTTATTTATTTTTTGGGGGGGGGTGGTTTTTTTTTCCAATACCGGGAACCGAACTCATGACCTTGCGTTTGCCATGCAGGCGCTGTGCCGCTGAGCTAAATCTCCAGACCCTAAAAACTTTTTTTAAAATGTAAAAATGACCTGGAGATAAATTAAATCAGCTTAGATTACTGGACGCAAGGGCTCTGGCATCCAGCTGCCTGAGAAATGAAATGTTAGCCCTACCAGCTAGCTAGTATGGCACTGGACAGCATCAGATTAATGTAAGTGGGCTGAAAAAAGTAAGTGATTTCATACCTGCTGTAGTCTTGCTGGCTCCAGAACATCTTTCTTTCTAAATGGCACATGCTCAGTCTTAGACTTCTTCTTCACTGCTCTTGTTTTTGCCAGGGCCAATGCCTTGTCTCTGAAGTTTGCAGTTTGGTCTAGAGCATGTGGGGCTTCTTCCAGAAGGATATCCACATCTAACCCATCAAGCTCACTCTCCAACCTCGGGGTCACTGGACGCTCTGCATCAGGCTGATGCTTATCTACGTGGAGATTTCATAAGGTTAAACTGAGAGAAATACTACTCAAACCACACTGGTGAGAATGATTATCACTCAAACTTACTGCTCCTCTTATAAATACTATTACAATTTTAGAAGCAGAAACTTAAGCAGCATGATTGATTCCCTGAACCCTAGCCCTCACATTTAGTCATTTTCCTGGTCCCTGTGCTCTAGCTCTAAAACATCTCTTGCATTACCTCTGCCCTTCCTTCCTTTCTGCAACTACCTAAGCTCCGTCTTGGAGTGTATTTGACTATAACAAGAGCATCCCCTGATACCTCGGTTATCTTTGGTCACATCTTCGCTTGGCCACCAAAACTGTTTTTCTAAAATGCAAATATTTAAGTGCCACTTCTCTATTTAACATCTTTAATAGCTCCCAATTTGATACAGAATAAAGTCTGAATACCACTCACAACATTCAATTTATAAAGGGAAAGGAACTACAACTATCTTCATTTAAAAAGCAGATAAAAGTCTATACAGGAAATTCATCAGAATCTGAATATAAACTCAATATAATTGAGAAGAGGGTTCAGCAAGGTTTCTAAATATACGAAGATTCACACCACAAAAGCTGTATCCTCCCCATGAATCAAAATAACTAATTAGACTTATATGAAAAAAAATCCCATTAACACTGGCAACAAAACTATAAGGCATTTAGGAAGAAATCTAATGAAAGATATGTAAGACTTTTACAGAAAAATACTAAAAGGTATTTTCAAGGGCATGAAAGAAAATCTGGATAAAATGTCTGGATGAATGAACAGACAATATTGTAAAGACATCAGTTGTCCACAAAAGTCATCTATAATTTCAAATGCATATTCAATTAAAACTGATTTTTGGTGGATCTAAACAGGTCAATTCTAGAATTCATATGAAGACTAAAATCCCAGAGGGGGTCAAATTATTCTGAAGAACAACAACAAAGTAGGGAGAGGGGTAGGTCCTTCTCTAAGGAAGATGAGGTCGTAGAGACAGACCTGTAACATGAAGGCAGTGTGGGTGTGATGCTGGAACAAGCAGAAACCAATGGAACATGGTGGATGCGACAGATCAGTAAGTTGCAGTTGGGCTGTGCAAAAACCAGTGCTAAGACCACTGGCCTTGGTAAATATAAAACTGGATCTGTGCTTCCCAGGGAACATTTAAATTCCAAATGAAATGAAGATGTAAGTGTAGGAAGAACATTTTAAACTTTAAAAAGAAAACATAAGAGAACATTATTGTAACATCAGGGCAGAAAAGCCTCACATTACTGAATTTAATTACACTAAACTACAGTTTCCCTTTGACAAAAGATACAATAAAGTCAATAAGTCAAAATCGGGGAGTAAGAATCTGTAAAGCATTAATTAAAACAGGATTAGTATCTAATGCTATAAAATATTTCTGCAAATCTCTAGAAAAAGAATCCTATAAAGAAACAGGCGAGGATAGAAACGAGCAACAAATAGAAAATATGATTTTTCAACTGAATTATGAAAAGATGATCCACTTCACTAGCAATCAAAAATATTCAAGCAATGAGATACCATTTCATATCCATCAGAGGGGGGGGCCAAGTACGACAATACCAAGTTTAAACAAAGAAGTGGAAAACCAAGTACTCTCACACACTACTAGTACAGGAGTAAACTGGCTCAACTACTATGGAAAAGAACTTGTTGCTCTAGTAAAGTTGAGGACTGGCACGCACTACAATCCAGCAATTATACACATGTACACAGGTAGGCAGAAGCACAGATATCCGCTTCACTCCATCACTGTTTGTAAGTGCACAAACCTACCCAGTGCAAGGGCCTATCATCTCAGCTACTTGAGAGGCAGAAGCAAGAGGATCTCTTGAGTCCAGGACTTCAGGGACAGCGTGGGCAACACAGTGAGATCCCACCTCATCAAACCAACTGGTAACAAGCCCAGCGACCACTGACGAATAAGAAGAACTGAAAAACAAGCTATGTTTCATTCATACAAAGGAAACCTGCATAACAAGTACATTTCTAAAAATTAGAGGAGCTGGGGATTTAGCTCAGCGGCAAAAGCGCCTGCCTGGCAAGCGCAAGGTCATGAGTTCGGTTCCCGGTACCGGAGAAAAATTAGAATTCACCTTTCGGCATAAACAAATCCTACAAACGTAAGTGGGGCAAAGAAAACTGCAGAATGGCATATACTGTAAGATAGCATGTGTATAAAACAATATTTTGTATTTTTTATGGATAGATACATAAGTAGTACAAATATAAAAATAGAACAGATTTTTAATAACAATCAGTAACCTCTAGAGAACCGAAGGAGGAAATGGGATGAGAACACGAATATTAAAGGGACTTCAACTGTACCTGTCATTTTATTTTTGAAAACTAATTTCAAAAGTAAATGTTTAAATCTGCATGGTGGATACCCAGTGTTTATTATTTTCATTCTTTTGTATGTTTAGAATATTTAATACCCAAAGGAAAACTACATTCAGAATTCTTTAACAACAGTAAACAGCCTCAGACTCCTCTGCATCAGTTCTTTAATCAGACGTTTTTCAAAGCTACACAAATTACACAGCAAGGGAATATAAATAAGAAGGATGCTAAAATTGAATCACCAGTCTGTAACTTATTTATTAACTCCCAAGCTGACAAACAAATCAACTCTGACCTGCAGGTCCTAATATTATAGGCAGCTAAATAAGATAGAAATAAATACACACTCAGAGAGGGACGGGTCTCTCAAGGAAGTTAGGAGAACAAAATACATCAGAATCGTGGCTGGAGGCACATTTGAAGAAGGTCAGGCCCAAGATAAAGATGCAATGCCCAAGCCTACGTGCTTCTCTAAGAGATAAACATTATGTGCTTGCTTCGACAGCACACATACAAGGAGATAAAAAATAACTTGAGATTATGCTATAATTAGGTCCTAATGGATATGTATCAGACACCTACGTGGGTGACCAGAACATCTGGACCCATGCTTTCCCCCCAAAAATGTTTGTTTCAGAAGTCATAGACAAACCAAGGTTAATGATGCTAGCCATGTACCCTTGCTATATGACTCATTTCCCTATTGCATCAATATTGGCTAAGTGGCTATACTTGTAATCCTATAGGTTGATGGTAATTTGAACCACATTGTACCCACACTATAACTTTGATGTATAAATTACCCCTGACAAAGGGCCTCAATGGCAACCCACTTTCAGGACCCAGTCTGTCTCTCAGGACCTATCTGTCAATAAACCTTTCCACTCTTAATCTCCGCTATCCCTTGGAATTAATTCTTCAATTTCAGGGGGCATGAACTCAGCACATCTGACATCTAACAGGTTAGAAGTTGTATCTCTTCTATATCACTAACATCTTTTCAGCTATGATCTGCATAAATTAGCATGCAAATGCAATACAAACTTCAGGGGCAGCAAAGTCTGAGGACTCTACTGGTGGTGGTGAGGGAGCCACAATCCTTATAGCTGACAAGTTAACTAATGCAATCAACCATTGCAATAACATTTCAGAAGCCACTAAAAAACTGCACCAGCCAACAATTATGTAAATCACAGTGAGATGATTCAATCAAGCTCAATCATATATCCCAAATGGTGAGGGCATACAGTTTTCTATCCATGTGGCTCCCCATGACATTTTTAGGGGCCAAGTGGGGAGGAAGAAGCATTAAGAAATCAGATTGCAAAATTAGGTAAAGTGATATCTAAAATAGAAACAGAAAAATGTGACCTTCTGGAATATACATCATAAGCACAAGAAATTTTTAAAAATAGGTAATTACATTCTTTTCCATGAGCAAATGTATTACACTTTCAAAGCAGTTAACTACAACTACATCTCAATTTGTAATGATGATGATCATCTCTCACATTTTGTACAAGGCTTTTTCCACTTGTAATGTAACTCACATTTATCAGTTCATTTCAGCCTCTCTATGACATACCCCAGAGCAGGCACAACTAATTTTTCGGGTGGGGAAATAGCAGTTAAGTGTTTTGCTCAAAGTCACAAGGAGAGTAAATGGCAGAGCCAAGTCTTTTAACTTTGGTTCTGGGCTGGACCTCATTCATTCCGTCCTGTCAAAGATTCTTGAGGCATTCTACCTATCTACATTTTCCTGAGAACTGAAGTTTCCTTGTCCCTAACCACACAAAACTCATTTACGTTTTCCTAGTTGAAATATGCCTAAGGAAGATAGCCTTTCTTGTCGACTGGGGGCATTATTACAAACTAAAAGTAACACCTTACATTTTCATAGCATTTAAAATTATCCAATTTGCTACTTACAATAACTAAATCACATAGGTCGAGGACCATTACCTCCATGATGACAAACTTAAGCTTCAGACTGCTAAGTCAGAGTGACTTAATTACAAATCTGGCAGAGTTAGGGCTAGAACTGAGGTCTTGTTCAAGTTTTCTCCACTTGACTTTCCTACATTTGCTCCTATGATGAGTTTTAGATTAGCAGGTTTTCCAACTTCTCTCCAAAGCCCATCCTCACCATTCACTCATCATCTGATAGGCATCTCTTAATCTTGTGACTCATTTAGGAAACACATCTGTGTGCAGGCCTGGAATGTTCTCTGCACTTCCTCCAAGGCATCACAATAAACTCCCCAGAAGCCAGAACCCAAGTTCTGCAGTAATCAGCTGCTCAGAAGTCTTCTCTTATTGATGACACTTGTTCATACAGTCTTTTGATAAACATGTGCTTAACTATGTACCACATGCTGGGCTGATCATAGAGGTGTACGCGCTGCCGAAGTGAGCTCTAGGGCTGGTCATAGAGGACAAAAAGACAAATAGCATTCAAGGAAATGTTGACAAAGGCAGACTTCAATCAAAAGAAGGTATCAGTTCCACCAGCCCACCAATGAAGGGAAGAGAATATCCCACTATAGTGAATAAATACCTAATAGTAAGTTAATCAATTAGATTTTGTCACTGAGATATTATATACACTAAGAAAAT